CTTTGTTTGCCGTGTGGAAATTCGACTCCAGCACCTCACCGAACTTCTCCCAGGAATCAGCCTTGGCTTTCGCCACTGCTTTGGCTGCCGCAATGCGTGCCTCGACATATCGCACCAGAGTAAAAGGTTCTTTGTTTCCAATCCATTTCTTGAACGCTGCCTTCATCTCTTTAACTGTCAATTGTACCTCTCATGTCCACCATGAAGATCTTTTCTGACCTCCAGGCGGCAGGCTGACTGTAAATCTACGGCATTCGGTGGCAGCCTCGAGTATGCCACTCTTGAAGAGCTGCCACTCGGTTTCAATATCACTTGTCATCATTTGAATCTGTTCAGTCCGCTGTGCGATGTTGTTTGCAAATTTCGTTCTCGTGTCCACCGAAAACAATGTTTCCCATTTGATTCTCCGGTACCAGATTTTCGCATGGTACTCCATTTCTTACAGCGCAGCGTGCCAACAAGAAGGTGATGATCGGTTGATATCTCTGCGCCTCTTTTAACACGAACATCAATTACTCAGCGTCTTAGGTCAGACGATACGATTATGAAATCGTTCTGTGCAGAAGCTTCCCTGTGCCAAGTATTCTTATGAGCATTCTTCGATGCTCGAAGAAGATGTTCATAATGGACAATCCGTTGTTTGCAAAAAACCGCAACAACTTAATGCCGTTATTGTTTAGGTCTCTAGGGCTCTTTCTTCAAATCACGCCGTTCCACTTTTCAGCGTCTACTCCGACGTGCGCATCAAAATCGCCCATCAGTATGAGGGACTCTGTATTCGGCACTTCAGACAGAGCACACTGCACTTCTTCAAGAAAGGTATCATATTCTTCCTCCAAATTGAGCGGATAGACGTGTACCAAGGTCAACGCTGTAGCCTATTGTGTCTTCTGTCGGACGATTACCAAGCTTCCGCTGATAAACTACCATTCAGCGATTGTGTCAGCCACGTTTGGCTCTACCAGAACACCGACACCGGCCTGAGTGTGTCGGGATATCGACACCATAGTAGAATAGCTTCCACCCGCAGAGGTTGAGGATTCCAAGGCATTTCGTCGACGAATGGCCAACCATGTCGAGTTGGCACTTTCTGGCCTTATCACATAGCTCCTTCTCTTTACGTCTGAGTGAGAATATGGACCGATTTCTAACTGTATACTCCCAATGGCGATGTCGTTCCGGTGAAGCCTTTTCTGACATGTCATAATGGCATCACGCTGTCTGCCTCCTCGGTTCATAGTAGATAGCGAATCAGCTGCTGATTGATATCTTGGTCGTCGTTTCGTTCATCTTCTTCAGCACTTGTGGTGCTGCCAGAAGGTAATAAGCGGGTTATGATCGCTTAGCCTGGCTCTGTCCTCCCCCAACCCACCCACCACCCACCCCCCAAACAGCCTATGCTGCCCTTGGTAATCCAACCGACGATTGAACCGATGTAATGTTTGATGACGGCAATACAATAAGGGGAAGATGGCTAAGTGCTACGGATGCTGTGACACACTCTCTAACTCTCCTCTATTCTTATTCGGGCTTAAAACGGGCGGAGTTATGAAGATGCATAAATTCATTTATTTGAAAATTTTGAATAACTTGATTATCACATGGTTTCAGGTTATTCTCCTCCCAATAGTATTTATAAATGAAATGAGTATGGTGCATATCTTTTCTCTACGGATGAGATTTTCTCACAGAACGTCATGGCCGTGCTATCATATGGCCATACCAGAAATAAATGACATTTGATGTTCCAAAATACGGCTTATCCGTGAACAGAAATTTATGTCGCTGCGGCTTCAAAGCTGATCAGTGAGAATACAATATTTATTTATTATCCATCTGATGAATTATGAAAGTTCCTCACATTAGCTATGTGTTTAGGAGATCTTTGCAGATTTGTGAGGCGATTTATATTTTGTTTGAATTATTTGCCTATTTCTGAGCATCAGGGAGTTTCATATCCTGCCACCTTAATTCTTGTGGATATGCCATCCATGTTCCGCAGAAAACGCAAGTCTAAGGAGTGTATAAACCTGAGTTGTGATTATTTAGCTTATTAGAGCAGCGAAGATGATAGTATCAGTTTCCTGTCTTATTGCACTAAATCATTCTAGCGCGTATTTATTTCAGGTTTATTTACTTAGGTATTTTCGATGAGATATGGCGCTCATCGACCTTTTTCAGTGAAATATATACAACGGGTTATTTAGTCAATAGGGTGAAAACAACAGCTTGTTTAAGCGTGACAATTTCCAAATACTTTTTGCCGGAGAATAGCAACTCTGTATATTTGGATGCATAGCGAATGAAACTTTTCTACAGCTTTGAAACGCTGACTGGTGAATGGTCGTCGGCTCCTCTTCAGCGATCTCTCCGCTACCAAACCCGATTGATGGACTTAAAATGGGATAGTTCCGACTTTTGCCGGATTGCTTCTGCAACGTTAAAGAAAGCAAGATCACCCGTTGAAGGCAGTGTGACTGAGTATTCAATAAATGTTGCAACTCAACGTGTACCTCATTCAAGAGGGAGCATTTGTGTCTTCTTCTGCTTACTTGTAGCAACAACATCTCTATGTCTAGTTTTATCAGTCAAAGTTTAAGTTAATGTCGACTGACCGCTATGGTGCACTGCTTTCTGCGTGAACAGAGCGTAAAACTTTATTGAAATGCCCGTGGTTTTTAAATCATATATCCATGCGTTTGGCAGGATGCGGTGTGCCAAGGTCAGGTTCTATAATGCCGGCTTTTATGCTGTCAGCGGAAACCGGAAGATCATGGTTAGCTAATAATGGAATGAATACATGACATCCTTGAATGGTGTCTTCTGCCCTGCGTCCAAAAGACATGCATCTCATGATATTTTCATAATCTCTAAATCATTAACTCGGCGCATTTTCGTGGGATGAATATTTAAGCCCTTGTGCGATGTGTTGGTATGTGATTGATGGCAAACACATTTCGACACATTCGATGATTCTTCATTGTGATATTGTGAGGTTAAGCATGGCATCAAACAGTATTTAGCAAAGTGTGCCACCGTTGAATCGTCCTAAAATGGAACGAAGACCGTGGTTGAATACTCAGCATTCCTAGCTACAATAAAACAGGTTATTCTCATAGCAATCCTGACGATATGGCCGTCAAAAAATAGGCATACTATGATAGAAGAAACGTACTGACACTGTTTTCTTTTAGGGGCAATTTCAAACGTAATGTCGTTGATAAATCGGTTTTCACTTGGCCATGAGAACCTCGATGGATTAAATCTGTACAATATCACAGGTACCACTAATGGCAGTATAATTATTCAATTGTAAAGTTAAACTGTACTTTTCAGCTCTGGCAAACAAAAAGCTGATGCCGAACCTACTGGGTTCAGACATTGCCCGCTTGAGCAAACTCTTCTCGATGACTGACACCAAGAGACTGGCCAACCTCTGTAAGACGTTCACAGGTCTTGGCAAGGCGAAGCTAATGACCAGAGATACTATAAGCAAAATCGTCAAAGATCCACTGGATGTGAACCACTGGTTTGAGATCTCACAGGTCGGTGACTCAGCGAGGTTCGATCAACTCCTGTGTGGTTTGATAGAGCAAGTTAATCAGCCGGAAGAACTAGTAAACACGCTCTTTAATTTGATAGCAAGCGATAACGCTGAAGAACTGTTCGCAGCTGAGAGAAAGACTAGCAGAGGAAGATTTGTAAGAAGTTAATGATTACTTTTAGTAGGTGTTGCTCGGATAGGTCAATATTGTGGTTGTTCAGGCGCGATATAATATATTCTTAACTTGTTTTGTGCAATGTTCATATTTTAGCTAAATAAAATTTTATATCACCACCTTAAAACTTTGAATTCAGAGATGTTTTTCAACAATGCCTATCGATTATTGCTTAAATCCGAGTTCGGTGTTCGTAAAAAGGATTTGTTGCGATTCAAAGCGTAATATTAGCAAGTAAACAATAGACAGATGTGCTGCTACTGCACATCTAATCCAAAACGAATAAACAGATTCAGTCGTGGGGTGAATATTACTTTATCCGATGAATGAAGTTCATTCTGTCAATCGGTACTTTGTGAAATAAAGAATATTCAGTTCACAACGTGTCGTTAACAGCAACATGACACAAAGATCAAGCTTCATACCGCATCCCTTGGTTCCCTTACTCTTTGTCTTCCGATGAGTACAATTTGAGCATTTCAAGAGTCAGGTGGTCCAATCTACAGTGTCAGATGCATCTAACATTATCTACAGCCACCTAATGCTCGTTGTAAACTATGCTTCTGCCGCTGATATTTCTTGTATGTTACATGAATCGCTAATGGCGGTTATATGATTGGTAAGATATACGACTAAGAGGATTAAATAATTTTTCGTGCTTTTCGAAACAGACAACAGTTTCCTCAAATGCATTGTGATAAAAGATGTCTTACGCTGGAAAATGTAGTCGTGCTCGACTGCTCGGGCAATTAGATGTCTACATTCGTTGGTTTGCTAGTTTGTTCATTCCTGCATTTGCTCATGATTCTTCGATGTCCTTCGCCATTTACGCTGGTCATAAGTTTACCATTATCCTGACGATGCACAGGAAAATGTTACTTTATGGAAAGTTTAATGCTTTCGCGTTCTCCTGCCCACTGTGCTCTGCAGATGAACGGAGAATCAATTGAACGGGTGGAGAAGTTCTCGTACCGCGAGGTCGTGTTCACTAGTAATGAAAGATGGGAAGATGTGATCTACCGCCGAACTGGAATGACCAGCGGCGTTCTGCCTTTGGTTCGACTAGTTCGAACCCTTGTGACTACAGCAGAGCTATACCTAAGGACAAAGTTGTTATGCTCAAGTCGATTTTTATTCCTATGTTTGCCTCTGGTCATGAGTCTTGGGCTGAAATGGGAAAATTTCAATCGCGGTGGAAGCGGCTGCAGTAGGCCCCCTGAAGCGAATCGCTGAGTTTACGCGAGTTCGGATATCTGAGAGGGCCTTGGTGTGCAGTCGCAGCTGCAATTGTTTGG